GATAACATGTGTAAATAAAAATTTAGTGAATATGTACTCTAGATAAGCGACAATTGTCATAATCGTTATTTTTAAAGTTTTTTGATTTTTTTTGACGAAAATAGTTAACTTGCATCGATATTGATTTTAAAATAGAAAAAAAAGTTTACCCAAATTTTAAACAAGATTGTCTGATGAAAAATGGTAAAAAAAAATAATAATTTCTAACTTAGGATTAGATATTATGATATAAATTTTGCATATTAATTTCTGACCCGATGAACAAATGTAATAAAATGCCAATTTGCTCCTGTTTTTGGGGAAGAATCTATTATTACCATATGTGTTTCTATGGCATATACTCAGGCAATTTTAATTTTACAATCTATATTTTTACCCATTTACATCAAAGAAATTTTAAAAATAACGATTATGACAATTGTCACTTTTCTATAGTACATCTTCACTAAATTTTTATTTAAACATGTTATTATTTCGTCAACAAAAATCAAAAAATTTAAAAAATAATGATTATGACAATTGTCGCTTATCTAGAGTACATCTTCACTAAATTTATATTTACACATGTTATTAATACTTATTTTAACATATTTTCGTCAAAAAAATTCAAAAAACTTTAAAAATAACGATTATGACAATTGTCACTTTTCATTGTCTTCACTAAATTTATATTTACACATGTTATTAATACTTATTTTAACATATTTTCGTCAAAAAATTCAAAAAACTTTAAAAATAACCATTATGACAATGTCAATTTTATATGGTACATCTTCACTAAATTTTATTTAAACATGTTATCAATACTTATTTTAACATATTTTCTTCAAAAAAATTCAAAAAACTTATAAAATAACGATTATGACAATTGTCATTTTTCTATGGTACATCTTCACTAAATTTATATTTACACATGTTATTAATACTTATTTTAACAAATTTTCTTCAAAAAAATTCCAAAAACTCATAAAATAACGATTATGATAATTGTCACTTTTCTATGGTACATCTTCACTAAATTTTTATTTAAACATGTTTTTACTACTTATTTTAACATATTTTTTTCAAAAAATTCAAAATACTTATAAAATAACGATTATGACAAATGTCACTTTTCGTTGGTACATCTTCACTAAATTTATATTTACACATGTTATTAATACTTATTTTAACCTATTTTCTTCAAAAAAATTCAAAAAACGTATAAAATAACGATTATAACAATTGTCACTTTTCTATGGTACATCTTCACTAAATTTTTATTTAAACATGTTTTTAATACTTATTTTAACAAATTTTCTTCAAAAAAATTCAAAAAACGTATAAAATAACGATTATGACAATTGTCACTTTTCTATGGTACATCTTCACTAAATTTTTATTTAAACATGTTTTTAATACTTATTTTAACATATTTTCTTCAAAAAAATACAAAAAACTTTAAAAATAACTATTATGACAATTGTCAATTTTCTATGGTACACCTTCACTAAATTTTTATTTAAACATGTTATTAATACTTATTTTAACATATTGTCGTCAAAAAAAATCAAAAAACTTTAAAAATAGCGATTATGACAATTGTCACTTTTCTTTAATACATCTTCACTAAATTTATATTTACACATGTTATTAATACTTATTTTAACCTATTTTCTTCAAAAAAATTCAAAAAACTTATAAAATAACGATTATGACAATTGTCACATTAAAATATTATCCTTAAAAAGATCATATAAAATCATCAAAAAAGTTTCATAAAATCCACCTCATTTAATAAAAAATAGATAATTTTAAAAAAATGATAAAAAAATTATAAAAGATTTCACCTAAAAGATTGTTTATTTATCTAATAAAATTTACAATATAATTCCTCAATAAAAGATGTATTTATAAAGAAGATTGTGAAAATCACTAATAAATTATATTAAAAAGAATATTACAATTTTACAATATAGCAGCATATTATTTTTTTTATTAAAATGACATCAAATAAATAAATTTATTTTCATTTCAAAATATAATAATATAAATAAAAAATATTAAATCATATCATGTTTATTTGTTGATAATAATAAAATATTTACATTAAATATAAATAAAATAAATTATTTTACTAAAATAAATAAATAATAATTAATACTAAGCATCGATGCAGAATTTTGACTAATTTAATTTTAGCTATATAGGCTTAGCCGATTTTTAGGCTTAACCTAATTAGGCTTAGCCGATTTTTAGTTTTAGCCGATTTTTAGGCTTACCTAATTAGGCTTAGCCGATTTTTAGGCTTAGCCGATTTTTAGGCTTAGCCGATTTTTAGGCTTAGCCTAATTAGGCTTAGCCGATTTTTAGGCTTAGCCTTATTAGGCTTAGGCGTAGTTTTTAGCCGATTACGCAACACTAATTGAAACCCCCTGATTGAACATCCTATGTGTTGCAGATGTTTAATTAAAGAGTAAAGAAAATGTTTTTATTATCAAGAAATGTCAATCAGATCTTCTGTGTCATCGATTATTACATCGATTCAAAATAAAGCAATAAAATGGCTGCTAATTTAAATTAAACATTTTCATATAGCTCTCGGATAGTATCTGAGTATAAAATGCTCTCTAAAAAAATCGAATAGGACGAGCGAAAAGAATATATAGTGACAAATGCCAAGATGAACGTCCTCAAGAATCGATTGACCTTTATAGGTTCGAACTATTTCGTCCTATAATTGATCAAATTATAAGCAGCTTGTCAGAACTACTTTTTGCGAATTGAGAGCTTATCTTGAATGTGCAATATTTGCATCCGACATTTTGATGAAATAAAAAGTAAAACTATTTCTGAAAAGACATTGGAAAAACTGGCACAATTGCATATTGAGTGTTAAATTTCATAACAAATTATGTTCATTCCAGTATATTCAAAGATTTGGTAGCAGAATTAAATGAAACGGACGATGATATCGCATGCACAAGTGAGAAGTCAAATGAAGAAGGTGGAATATTACAATATCAATAAATCAGAATGTGATAATAAATGTAACAAGTGTTTAATATGCGTGTATGAAATTCTTAAAAGATACAATATACATACATGTGACACTAATTTATTTTTGGCATATGAATACATTTTAACTTTATCATTTACGCAGGTTAATTGCGAGAAAGCATTTAGTAAATTAAAAATTATAAAAATATGCTGAGAGCTAATATTGATCAAAAAAAATTAGAAGCAGCGTTTTTAATGATGTCAGTTAAACGAGAACTATTAGCATAGATTGAACTAGAAGATATTCCTGCATATTTGCGCAAAGGTTCAAAGTTAATGAGAGATTTATTAACGTAAAAATTATATATTTTCTTAATTCTTTTATTAGAATCTTATTAATATTATTTACAATATGATCGGTGCTTGATTTTATAAAAGTGCAGCAATTTTATTCTCTGTAATATTGTATAACTGCAATAATTTTATATTTATAATTAATTGATTTAATCAATTGAGTATGCATTTTTTTATATTTAACATGTGATGTATGATTTAATTTTATAGTGCAATATCGTTGTAAATCTAATATAAAATATATATTTTCAATGAATATTATTTTTTATAGGTAATGAATATGATTTTAGATGTGCATTTTTTTAAAATAAATATATGATTATCGTATAATACTATTCTTTTTTTTACTAAAAATGAAAAACATTTGAACTTATTTTCAAAAAATAAGATGTAATATAATCATGTACCGGTATAAAAAAATGCCCACGAGGCCGTAGCGTCACCAGTCCGTCCCTGAAGATAATAATATTCAAAATAATATTTCAACAACTTTTCCAAACTACTTTGCCTTTCACTAAAATAGGCTCCTCTTCGTAAAATACGCGATTACTTGTTAGTGAAGATTTTTAAGAAATATTAAAATCTTTTGCTGAGGTAGGTGGGAGGGTATTAAATCTAGGGTGATGAATAATATAGTTAGTATTGGGGTCTACAATTGTAATTTCCTGTTTCCAAAACGAGATTGATTTATTGGTGCGATCTCGGAAAGAGGTATGGTGGCAAACCCTGGCTCTCCTACAAAAAAAATCAGGCCTTTGAGTAAAGAATATTTGGCAATCTGCCCGTACTTTAATTTTCCTCTGACCTGGGTTATCAGTAGTGTTGTTAAATATTTCGATTTTATCTATTTTAAAAAACAGCCTGATTAAGACTTTAGCCAAAGTAGGCAAACCTGGAGATTTCTCTCATAGGTGGCAGAAAGATTTGAATTTTTATTTGCCAAATCTTGAGGCTTGCATCATATTATTTTAGCTAAAGTTTTAAACTGTTCGTTTTCAAAAAAATCGATTCAAATCGGGCCGTTTAACAACACTAGCTGCTAGTAAAATCTAGTTTTGTAGATTTAAAAAAAATATTTCTGATACTTTGTTCCCAACCCTCCTCCTTCCCACACTTCCTTTTCCTGGCCTATGGGCTGGTTGCAAAGTAAACAAATTTCTGACATAAAAAATCTAGTTATGGATTTATATTTCAAATATTTCTAAAATTTTGACTTTTAAAAATATCGTGATAACCTACTAGTTAATGTGCTAAATTTGGCGATGTTTCTTCATATAAGTGTTGTTATTGGATCGATTTTTAAAAAGACCTTATTAAGATTTTCGCCAAATGCAGTCTCTAGATTTGGCAAATAGAGGTCTTATTCTTTTCTGCCATATTATAGAAAAAAATATTCAGGCTTACACAGTATTATTTAGGCTAAAATCTTGATCGGGCCGTTTTAAAAAATCGACCTAAATAGTGGGATTTAATAATACTACTTCTGACCAATGATAAGAATGCCAATAGAAAAATTTTCTTATATTCCTTAAATTTACTTAATATAAAAAGTAATCCTAAGTTAATAAATTTTTATTCCAAATTCTATTTTATATATTATATAGGTAGTTCACAACAAAATGCAAAGTATTGAAAGTATTAATCAAATTTTGTTTTTTCATGACGCACATGTACGAACATTTTATTGCAGCTATCACATTCTGTTAGAAAAAATATCTTGATGTCTGCAATCGATATCAATGTGGCTAAGCCGCTGCCTATACAGTGTACTGCAGGAGCAATACCATTTTTGAATGAAAAAGGTAAATCGATATTTATTTGTTATTATTAACAGATATTATTTAGGCGAGATATCGATGAAGAAAGTTAAAGTTCAACGATATGTATCTGGGAAAAGGTTTTATCTAAATATAAATTATTTTATATAATTTTTTTAACATATTACTTTATTTAGGCCAGATTTTGCACCATCCTCATCCGATGAAAGTGAGGGTAATGAAGATAATCATGAACAAGCTCAAAAAGTTCAAACTCATATAGTTAGAGAATATCAACATAAATATTCAAGCCCAGAATCAGTTCACGATTTAGATCGACCTGAAAGAAAAAATCAAAGCAAGGAGACTACTCGAAATCATAAAAAAAGTTCAACAAGAACAGAAGATATTAACAAAATTAAGCAAGCACAAATTTTGGAAAAGTAGAATATAATTTTCATCATTTTATATGTAATGATTGGATATGTATGGCAGGAACCTTCAGACTATCAATATATGATCTGGCCCAGATTAAAAAAAAATTTTTTTTTAGGCTTGGTCCACATTTTTTAAATCAGCTTGACCTAGATTTTTTTTAATTTAAATTTTTGTTTCAATCCAGATGTATGAATTTTTTCTATAAAATTATAATGATATTGGAAATATGTAAAGTGAGTGAATGTGATATATTATTCAATTATTCATCAATTTTTAAATATGTTATATTTTATTTCATTTATTAGTTATATATATATATATAATTTTAAGCCTGGCTTAGGTATATTTTAAAAAAAATTTGGCCAAGCCTGTATACTTGATATATGGGCCAGATTGTAGGTATCTGATTTACAGTAAATTATACCTTACATTTCATTTGATATTGGTTTATTTGGATTTTTTTTAGTAATTTACAATTTTTCTAGCTAATAAACTATGTTTTTAAAAATTCAATTTTCATTTGGCAAAGATCTCTGAGATATTTATGATAAAATTAAATTTTAACCCTTAAGAGGTACCATAAACAGAAAGGTAATTTGGGATCTTTCTTACTACTAAATTTTAATATATCTCAACAAGTTTTGCAAATTTTAAGTAAATTTTAAAACATATCACAATCTTAAGAGTATAACATTAAATTCTATAATTTTTGCAAAAGTGATGATAATAAAATTAGCTTTTATATAGATAAAATTACTATTAAATACAGTAAAATTATAAATATTAATTAATTAAATAAATATACTTTCATATAAGATTTATATTAAAAATAATTCAATAACAGTGAAATTATAAATATTTATTAATTAATTAAATATTCTTTTATATTAGATTTATAAAAAAAAAGCCCTTAAGGTATTTTCTGCCTTCATGCTAAAATTAAAAAAAGAAACTCGGTAAAAATTTAAATTAAACTGGACAAAATTGTATGATATTTATGCACATTCTTAGGCTCAGTATAACCATGGGGGGGGGGATAATTCTATTCCTTTAATTTGTAAAATTTATAAATATCATTTAATAAAAATTTCCCATAACCTCTTCCCATCCTCCTCTCCCTAAACAAAAACCATGTCATTATAAACCATATTTTTTAAAAAATAAATGCAGATTTCATGACAAATCAACAAAACGATTTTCAATCTGACCCCTTCAGATTTTTTTAAAAATTTTATTTGCATATATTATATAATTAAGAAAAAAAATTTTAACCTCCAACTCCAAACAGGGGCTGGGATATTGGCTTCTAAAGGTCAAAAAAATAGGGCATTTTGTGCAAAATGAACTCCCTTTAATTTTAGATTTCTTTATTAATAATTGTGCTAGAAAAGTTATTTAAATTTCTTTATGTAGCCTAATGGTAGACCTTTAAAGTTATTTAATGTTTATAAAAATTTAAGGTAACTCACTGAAACTTGGGCAAAATTTTAATATTTTTTTTTTAAAATATTTTAATATTATTATTTTTTAAATATTATTTTTATTTAAAAATAATAAATATGCGACATGTGGATATGGATGGAATTTTTTTGATGTAATAATAATTAAAAGTTTCATAACTCAAAAATTTTAAGAATTCCATATTTTTTCTTGTGAAAATTTTCACAATTCTTTAATTTTACATTAAAAATGGAAAAGGTGTGTGCTATATTAAATGCTATTAAGTTAGGACTAATTTTTATTCTAAAAATTTCACAATTCTTTAATTTTACATTAACAATGGTGTATATTATTTAAAAATTTTAAAAAGGCATGTGCTATATTGAATTTTACTAAGTTAGGACTATTAAATCAAATACTAGATAATTAAACAATTTATTTGAATAAAAATAAACTATATAATTTTAAGGAAAAACAAATAGTTCTATATTATCATTTAAAAATTAAAATTTATTAATTTACTTAAATTTGACATATTTTTAATATTACGAAAATAAGAATATTTACGTATATATAAATGAGAAGAGATTATCTTCCAGTTCTGGGGAATTAAAAAAAAATATTTAAAAAAATTTAGGAGGATTTTTTTTAAAGAAGAAAGATTTTTGACAAAATTTTATCTAAAAACGTCAACTTTTTTAAAAGTATATATTTTGTAATTTTCATGCATAGAAAATCTTTCAAGATAAAATCACTAGATTTTTTAAAATTTTGAATAAAGGGTAAAAAAAAATTTAAAATCACATTCCCTGTTTTAGGGAATAAAATTGATTTTGAAAAAATTGACATATTTTTTTTCTATATAAATGCTATTTTTAGAATATATTGTTTATAATCCAGGTAAAAATGCCACTTTATGCTTAATTTTTTTTAATGTTATTTTATCATTTTTTGATTAATGTTACTAGGTTGGCACGTCACAAGCAAATGCATAAAGAAAATAATGCTAAGGAGTCAGAATCGGAAACCGAGACATCCAGAGTTAAAAACTATAATAACGTAATGAGGGACGACCATAAGTCCAGACATAAAGAAATTAGTAGTGAAAGCGGAAGCGATAAGGAAGATAGTGATGAAAACGAAGAAGTTATAAAAAAAATTTAGAACTATAATTAAATAATCATTTTTAGTTTATAAAATTTTAATCCTCCCACAAAATATTAAATGTATTTTAAATTGTCCCCTCGAGAGAGATTATCCTTAAATTACAAATTTTAATAATAGCTAGCTCAATTTATAACCTGGACATTCAATTTTTGATAAAAATTATAATGTTTAATTTTAAAAAGGAAATACAAAAGAGGAGGCTGGCCCTGCGGCAAAAGATACTTGAAAAAATAAGAAAGGCTAAGGAAAGGGAGAAAGAGAAAGAAAAATTATCTCGTAAAGCTCCACCATCAAGCAAAATTACTAAAGCGTCTCGCGGGGATGAACATAAAAGCGACAAATATTTGGACGAAAATTTAGATGAAGGAGTTGAGGAGGAGGAAAGCGAAGAAGAAAGTGATGAAGAAGAGGAAGAGAGTGAAGATGAAGGATTCGACGTGTTCAGTAGACACCAACATATTAAGCCCGTATTTGTTCAGAAGTAGAACCCAATATTAATATTATTATTATTATATATGTTTTTACATAATATTGAATGTTTAGAAATGTAATAGCATACATCGCATTTTTTTAAAGATAATTAACAGACGTGTTACATATCGAAACCGACTCAAATTCTAAAAATTGACAGGGAACCCGGACAAAAATATTTTTGCGTTTCTGTTCCATCCCGCCAAAAAATTATGTACCGTTTATTCTACGTTTTAGAAACGTTCCAGAACTTTTTATTAAAAATTTATCTAATTTTATTCACTAATCTTTAAAATATAGATTTATTAGATCTAAGCATTGATTAAGACATTCTCTGATAGTTTATTATTTATTTTGTGCGGTTGTATTAATATAAATTTTAATGTAAAAAAAATTCTCAACACTAATTTGGAATTAAAGAAAAAAACTAACCAGTATACCTAATTATATACTTATAATTTAAAATAGAATTTTAATATTTTTATGGAACGTTTCTGGAAATATTGTTCAGATAGAGTTTTATAATTTTGCCAAAATTCATTCACACTATTGTTGTTAATACGCCTCGAGTCGCGATCCCGTCTCAAAGTTCGGGTCGTTTTTTCGACCTTGACTCGAGTTCAAGCCGAAAAAACGACCTCGACCCAAAATATGGGTCGTTTTTTACGACTCAGACTTGAAGTTTGGTCGTTTTTTTTCGACTCAGACTTGAAGTTTATTTTTTAAAGCAAATATGTAAAAATATATTTTGCAAACATGTTAAATTAAAATTTCAGTGAAGATTTACCATAGGAAAGTGACAATTGTCATAATCGTCATTTTTGAACTTTTTTGAATTTTTTTAAGGCAAATATGTAAAAATATATTTTGCAAACATGTTAAAATAAAATTTCAGTGAAGATGTACCTTAGGAAAGTGACAATTGTCATAATCGTCATTTATGAATTTTTTTTAGACAAATGGGTAAAAATATATTTTGTAAGCATGTTAAATTTAAATTTCAGTGAAGATGTACCATAGGAAAGTGACAATTGTCACAATCATCATTTTTGAACTTTTTTCAATTTTTTTAAGGCAAATGGGTAAAAATATATTTTGTAAATATGTTAAATTAAAATTTCGTTGAAGATGTACCTTGAAAGTGACAATTGTCATAATCGTCATTTTCAAACTTTTTTGAATTTTTTTTAGACAAATGGGTAAAAATATATTTTGTAAACATGTTAAATTTAAATTTCAGTAAAATTGTACCATAGGAAAGTGACAATTGTCATAATCGTCATTTTTGAACTTTTTTGAATTTTTTTAAGGCAAATGGGTAAAAATATATTTTGTAAACATGTTAAATTAAAATTTCATTGAAGATGTACCTTAGGAAAGTGACAATTGTCATAATCGTCATTTATGAATTTTTTTTAGACAAATGGGTAAAAATATATTTTGTAAGCATGTTAAATTTAAATTTCAGTGAAGATGTACCATAGGAAAGTGACAATTGTCACAATCATCATTTTTGAACTTTTTTCAATTTTTTTAAGGCAAATGGGTAAAAATATATTTTGTAAATATGTTAAATTAAAATTTCGTTGAAGATGTACCTTGAAAGTGACAATTGTCATAATCGTCATTTTCAAACTTTTTTGAATTTTTTTTAGACAAATGGGTAAAAATATATTTTGTAAACATGTTAAATTTAAATTTCAGTAAAAATGTACCATAGGAAAGTGACAATTGTCACAATCATCATTTTTGAACTTTTTTCAATTTTTTTAAGGCAAATGGGTAAAAATATATTTTGTAAATATGTTAAATTAAAATTTCGTTGAAGATGTACCTTGAAAGTGACAATTGTCATAATCGTCATTTTCAAACTTTTTTGAATTTTTTTTAGACAAATGGGTAAAAATATATTTTGTAAACATGTTAAATTTAAATTTCAGTAAAAATGTACCATAGGAAAGTGACAATTGTCATAATCGTCATTTTTGAACTTTTTTGAATTTTTTTAAGGCAAATGGGTAAAAATATATTTTGTAAACATGTTAAATTAAAATTTCATTGAAGATGTACCTTGAAAGTGACAATTGTCATAATCGTCATTTATGAATTTTTTTTAGACAAATGGGTAAAAATATATTTTGTAAGCATGTTAAATTTAAATTTCAGTGAAGATGTACCATAGGAAAGTGACAATTGTCACAATCATCATTTTTGAACTTTTTTCAATTTTTTTAAGGCAAATGGGTAAAAATATATTTTGTAAATATGTTAAATTAAAATTTCGTTGAAGATGTACCTTGAAAGTGACAATTGTCATAATCGTCATTTTTGAACATTTTTCAATTTTTTTAAGGCAAATGGATAAAAATATATCTTGTAAGCATGTTAAATTAAAATTTCATTGAAGATGTACCTTGAAAGTGACAATTGTCATAATCGTCATTTTTGAACTTTTTTTAATTTAATTGAAGCAGATAGATAAAAATATATACTGTAAACATGTTAAATCAATTTTTCAGTGATGAAAAACCTTGAAAAAATTAAAATAGCCATCTTGATATTTTTTTGGAATATTTTGAAGAAAATGGTTAAAATATAAATTAGTTAATTAGAATTTCAATAAAAGCCATAGAAAAGTGATAAAAGTTTAAATTAAATAAGAATGTTTATTTATTCGGATTATACTTTCGCATCGCTAAAGTTGGGGATAACACTATATTATTATTAAGATAATAAAAAATATATATATATTTAATATTTTAATCATATCTATTTTATTTGTGGAAATAGAGATATTTAAAAAAAATTTGGAAGTATTGTAAAAAGTGGATAATAAGACGCTACCTTATTAAAAAAAATAGCTGACACTCTTATAAAAACAGGCTTTGAAATACTAATTATAAATAAAATCAGTTTTCCAAAAATAAATAAGTATTTATATGAGATAGTTTGCCACCATGAATCTTTTTCTCGGGTTCTTCTACACTAAAATATTAATATAACATGTTTTACAAATAAGATTTTTACTATTTGTTTAAATAGAGTTTAAAAATAATTATGACTTTTATCACTTTTCTATGGTACATCCTCAATGAAATTTTAATTTAACATGTTTACAAATATTTTTACCCATTTGCCTTAAAAAAGTTCAAAAATGACGATTATGACAATTGTCACTTTTCTATGGTACATCTTCACTATTTAAATTTAACATGTTATTTTTACCCATTTGTCTGAAAAAAATTGGAAAAAGTTCAAAAATGACGATTATGACAATTGTCACTTTCAAGGTACATCTTCAATGAAATTTTAATTTAACATGTTTACAAAATATATTTTTACCCATTTGCCTTAAAAAAATTCAAAAAAGACGATCATGACAATTGTCACTTTCCTATGGTACATCCTCAATTTTTAATTTAACATGTTTACAAAATATATTTTTACTCATTTGCCTTAAAAAAATTTAAAAAAGTTCAAAAATGACGATTATGACAATTGTCACTTTCCTATGGTACATCTTCACTGAAATTTAAATTTAACATGTTTACAAAATATATTTTTACCCATTTGTCTAAAAAAAATTGAAAAAAGTTTAAAAATGACGATTATGACAATTGTCCTTTTCTAAGGTACATCTTCAATGAAATTTTAATTTAACATGTTTACAAAATATATTTTTACCCATTTGCCTTAAAAAAATTCAAAAAAGTTCAAGAATGACGATTATGACAATTGTCACTTTCCTATGGTACATCTTCAATGAAATTTTATTTTAAAATGTTTGCTACCCATTTGTATTTGTCTAAAAAAAATTTAAAATGTACAAAAATGACGATTAAGACAATTGTCACTTTTCTATGGTACATCTTCACTGAAATTTTAATTTAACATGTTTGCAAAATATATTCTTACACATTGGCCTTAAAAAAATAAACTTTAAGTCTGAGTCGAAAAAAACAACCAAGCTTCAAGTCTGAGTCGAAAAAACATTTTAACTTCAAGTCTGAGTCGAAAAAAACGACCCAAACTTCAAGTCTGAGTCGAAAAAAACGACCCATATTTTGGGTCGAGGTCGTTTTTTCGGCTTGGACTCGGGTCGAGGTCGAAAAAAACGACCCATATTTTGAGTCGAGGTCGTTTTTCTCGGCTTGAACTCGGGTCTAGGTTGAAAGAGACCCAAAATTTGAGTCAGCTCTGTTCGAGCCGGCTCGGCTAAGCCGATTAACAACACTAATTCACACCTCTACTAACAATTGAATAAATGAGATTCAACTATGGCCAAAATAATACTTTAATAATCCTGTTTTTGTATAGGAAAGATAGAGTTACTATCAAAGAAAAGGAGGATGACGAAGAAAAGCAAAGGCTTTCGGAAATCAAAGCTAAAAAGGTAGCAGAGGAACGGCGTAGGGAAACTTTAAAGGTATATTATATATTTATCATTTAGGCTTTACTTTCTACATAATTCACCCCATTTAATTAAATCATAAATTGTCATATAGTTTGAAACAATTTTAATATTTTTTAAAAATACTATGACCACTCAATTTACAATCATGATTCATCATTTTTTTCCTGCTAAAAAAAACTCTCCCACACTTAAATTATATATATTTAATATTATAGTTTCATAAACATAAAGTAAGACATAATATCGTCAACCTCAATTTGAATATTGGTTTGATGTATTTAAGTGTCATTTTTTAAATTTTAGAGATCATATAATATAAATACGATTTATATTATTAAAAATAACAAACCAAATTCCATAATATACTTGTTTTCGGTAGTTAATATATTTATCACCTTCTACGTTTAATAACGATTTCTAGGTTTACCTGGGTACACCAGTTTCCCTTCTGATTCCCCTTCTCCATTTTTGCCAGTCCTGATTATCACTATTTGTGAAATCCATTTTACTCCTATTCTTATTCACGTCATCTTAAGCTTTTACCAGTCCTTGATCCCACTTCCTTCAAGGTAGCCAAAATAATATTATTTAAGCTTGGAGATTTTGCTCAAAGATGGCAGAAAGGATTGAACCTCTATTTGCCAAATCTCGAGGCTTATAATACAAGATCTTAATCGGATCGTTTTTAAAAAACTATCCGAATCTGGATTTTTAGATGAGAGAGATAACCAATATCAAATCAAAAGTATAACATCTTAAAATTGATTGATAGACTAGCTTTACTCATCGAAATCTAATCCCCCAAACAGCCCTAATCTTATTTCCATTTGAGAGTTTAAAATTATATTTTTAAAACGACTAGGAACTCATATTTTTTCCTCTATTGCTCACTTACGATTTTTTGAATAAGTTCTTTATTAATTAGCATGACTGCTCAATTTCCTCAAAAAATATCGTGAATAATATATATATAAATGTTGCTATAAATGAACTTTTTAATGTAATTAAACATTTTTTTATATATTATTAAACAAATTGATGCAATAAAAAGTAATATCTTTATATTTTTTATCTTAAAATATGACTAAAATAAACTATGCATGATATTACTCGCAAAGAAATTATATAATAATACTTAATATTCGAATTGACTTCGTTTTTAATTAATAACTAATTATTTAATAGCGGCAAAGGGTAAAAAAGATAAATTTTTGTACCTTAAATTCCGTTTTAATAAAGTGACCTCAAGAGCAGTTACATATTCATCAACTTAGAGAGGTAATCAATGTTATCTGATAAGCATTGGTAGGTGAGAGGTACCGACCTCAAAATAAGGTGATCACCTTTGGAAGCTTCTTAACTAAATAAATCGAATCTATGATATAACCAATTTTATTTATTCTCCTCAAAACATTCTCATTCAGATAGTCGAAGAAGAGATTAAAAGAGAACACTACAACCCTCCGGAAAAGACGGACGTGATTGCATCCAACAATTTATTACCCCCGGAAAATCCGGCTATAACGTCCAAGCTCGAAGATATAGATACGGATGATGAAATTGACGAGGAAACCAGTTACGAAAGCTGGAAATCCAGAGAAGCTGAAAGACTTAAGAGGGACAAAGAAGAGAAAGAAAGGTTAACTTTTTTTCTAAAATCATTGCCACTGTTGAAGTTTTTCTTATTTTTCAAATCTCCTAAATGAATTATATTTATTTCATTAAAATTAAAATTTATGGACATGTATAGTTGTATATCCATATTAATTTTATGTTATGTGTAAATCTATCTCATTACTTTAAAAAAATATTTATTGTTACTTTTTTTCGATTAATTTAAGCATTTTAATGAATGCATGATTTTTTAAAATTGATAAAAAAAAGTGATACTATTTTTGATATATACAATTAATCACATATTTTTTAAATATATAATAATTGGGCTATTATTTTTCATAAATTGATTAAATTGTCCAAATCATTGTCAAATACTATATACAAATCATAGATGAATGATACACTCGTCCTTCTCCCATGCTCATAAACATTGTAAAATTTGTTCTCATTTATTAACTAAATTTTCAATCACCATGATTTGACTATTGTCATTAAATATAGGAAAAGAAGCTTAGAAAAATGGTCTGATATAATAATTTCATAATGTTTATTTTTTTATATTAGAGATTGTAATTTCAGGCTGGTACTAATCGAATGTAAGAGATCCAGACCGGGATTATAAATCATTTAAAAAAATTACAAAGCCAGATTGGGTCGTAAAATGACCCATGACATGGTCATTAGAATTTGGACTAAATCTGTAAATGTGGCCAATTCATAATTTTGTCATTTCAATATAAAATGATTCTAAAAAATTTAATGGAATCTTGAAAGTTCTTTAATTGTATACTGGTTATTTTTTATGGTAATGAATATCACCGAATGCAAATACGAAATCAAATCATTTTCTTTCCATCGTTGACTTTTCTTAGGTGACAAATTTATTAATATTTTTATTTGAAAAAATGAACTCAAAAGAATGGTGAGAGAGAAAATGGAGATAGAAAGATGGCACAGTATGACGGAAGAAGAAAGAGCTGAAATCTTGAGACTTAATCCCAAGTTGGTAACCAATAGGCCTCAAAAAGGAAAATACCGATTCTTGCAAAAATATTATCATAGGGGTGCCTTCTATTTGGTAACAAATTTTTTTTGTAATTTATGTTTTAATGAAATTAATATACATTGGGTAACTCTAAAATTGATAACAGGATGAAGAAGAAGACGTTTTGAAACGAGATGTTAGCGCACCCACACTCGAAGATCATTTCGATAAAACTGTTATGCCTAAGATTATGCAGGTTATTAGTAGTTTTTTATGTTTTGTATATATTTATATACATTTATACCTTACTAAAAATACTATACTAATATCGAAACCTACTCATAAAATATTTCGAGGGAATCAAAATGAAAATATTGTTAAAATATTATTTTAAAATGGTTTATTAATTTTTTTTTAAACTAATAAATATATCTATAGGTCAAAAATTTCGGTAAAGCTGGGCGTACGAAATACACTCATTTGGTGGATCAAGATACAACCTTATTCGATTCCCCTTGGACAAGTCACAATCCTCAAAATATCAAATTTATCAACAATCAATCTGGGGGTATGAAGCAAATCTTCAACAGGCCTTCTAAGAAGAAATTATAATTAAAATGCGAAATAATCGTGATTGTTAGCTAGCCATAAGTGATTTGGAATATGATAGGAATGAATTTGACACTTTTATATAGCTATGTAATTATAAATATATTGTACCATCATCACTTTATTATACTTAAATTATATGAAATAAAACTATTTAACTTTTTTATATAAATTGTAAAATTGATTGCAAAGATTTTGATTAAGAAATTATTTTTGATAATCTTGAAAATTAGGTCTAAATCAAAATGAAATAGGAAGAAAAAATTAAAACAATAAGTTGATAATGGTTTGGTAGACTAATATAAAAAAATTAACCTTTTTTTCCAGTGTTATTTAGTTAATATATTCACTTCGTATTCATTTATTCTATCAAAGGGTTAGAACTTTATTCCTGATTCACGATCTTTTTTTCTCGACTTTTCCTTTTTATATTGTCCTTTTAAATTTATATAAATATACTAGATATTTTTTTTTGTTTCGTGGCCCTTTTCTAGGTTCAAAATTAGACCATTTCCCTTGTAATTCCCTTTCCATATTCGGCGGTCTTGGGCATCCCCACTAGTCAAACTTATCTTTTTCATGTCATTATCTACCACCTACATTCAGCTTGTTTAATGTTTTTATGAAGAAATATTTAATAATTTATGCTCATAGAAACAACTATTTTTTAAATATAATAATAACCATTTTGTATGATATTTAATTATTTATTGTTAACCTATCTTTTTAAAATAAATATCTAATTAAAAATTTACAGGTACTATTTAAAAATAACATTTATACAATATTAAGATATATAAGATGTTAACGGGATTTAAAAAAAATAAACTTAAGGCTTCGCCTCCCCCCCCCTTCCCCAAGCCTTCTGCCAATTGAACAAATCATGTCGGAAACTATTGTAGAAAAATAAAAGTTGTTTAGGTTATGGTATTGATTTTCTGCCCCCAGTGAGGAGTTGTAAGTAAATGACATCAGACGGTCTACACAGGTGCAGTACAAAGCGATGGTTATATCTTGGTTCCAAGAGATTTGGGTCTAGTTTGGTTGTCCGGACTCGAAAAATTATTCACCACTCAACGTTCTATTGATGTTGCCTTTTAAAAAGCTACAATGTAGGGGGTAGTGGCCTAGACCTTCGATATGGGTTTTACAGAGATTATCGTTGGTGTAACAATTTTGCAACCTAATCGACAACAACAATGATTAGAAATTCTTCATTGGTAAATAATAGTAGGAGGTTAGAGCTATGTATGTTTCAATCTATTTATACAGCAGTTGGGGTGTATGTTAATTGTCGTTTGCATTGTTGGAATCAGTTGTGAATAATTCACATGGATATTTGGTTTTCTGTTTCACTGATTTTATTCTGCAACGGGGTTAGTAGTGAAAAGAATAGAAATATTTAAGCTTAAAGAGCAAAAGGTGAGTCTTATAAAAAGAATTTAGAAAACATACTTTAGCGGCTACAAGTTGTCACTTTTTTATGGGCAAAAATTGATATGCTTAAAATGGCCACTTTAGATAGATAGAGAATGAGCTATTTTTATCGGAAAAAGCTTAATATGGTCTTTTTGGATAGGTAACCCCAAAAAGCAGCAGTGCAATTTTGTATCCACAAAAGATTCCAATAATCCCTGTGAAGTTGTCATTTTGCAAAAAGGTCCATTTCAGGCGATAGTGATCCTAATATTCATATGAAAATAGTTAATTTAATTTGAAATTTTTAAATAGAGTGTGAATAATGCACTTAAATTCATATTTTCTTCCCAGTCATTTAGTTTTGATGACATTAAAATAGATGTAATTTTCAAAGGCTTATGTAAGTATGCATTTGTATAAGGAACTGGGGAATTAGTGAACGCATTTATGATAACTTAACTTTCTGCAAGTGAAAAAAAGAATAGGAGCATAAACATCCCATAAAATGTTGATTGAGAGCTGGAATCCCTGAGATTATAGGAAAGAAAAATAGGTGCTTTAAGAGAATATTCAACACTCTAAATTTCAAACTAATCAGCATATTAAGGGGCTGAACGAATATGCAAACGAAATATAGGTATTTAGTATAGATTTCATAAATAGTTTTTTAGCTAAATATTATGAAAATTATAGAAAAAGATAGTTCTCTATTTGATAGATTAAAAATAGGCATACCTATGTGTTTTTTGAAGAGAAAAATTGTTTAATGAAAGCACGAAAAATTTGGATTTTTATAGAAAATGTAATTAATTTTTTATTATTTAATATATTCAAGATTCTACCATTTTTATTATTTAATATATTCAAGATTCTACCGAACACCAATTTTCCTAATAATATAATATCAGCTCAACTTTTTCCTTCAGATTTATTAAATATAATTTCACGATAATGATGAATAATTATTGCCGTAAGGTATATTTTGTATTTTATCATAGGATCATTACCCCAAAATTTAATTATTTTATAACACAATTATATATATAAAAAAATTAGATTTTATTTGTATAATATGCTTAAAAATTTTATATAAAATTATTATAAAAATGAATACACCTTTAACTTATATCATCCAGAATATAAAAAGATTGATTAAGTAAAAAAATTATCCAAAATTTATAATATTAAGTTGTTCAAATATATTTAACTTTTGCATTTAATTGAATTTATAGATATATTAGGCGCAAGCCGATGATACTTGCGATCATAGGAGTTATATTTTTAATGAGTGTCTTATGTATGTATCATAAAATCGATTTCTTTTGCAATATCACCATATTGGATCATGTAGGTCACAAAAATAACTTTATAATTGTTATTCTTAATTATTATAAAATCAAATCTAATTACAGGCATACAAAACTTGCAAAATACTTCGCCGCAATATACCATATCCTTCTATTCACTCCGAAATAAATTATAATTATAACGATCAAATTGACGAATTTTATTGTTTTAAATATGAATTAACTTGTGACAAATGGATTGTATCAACTGAATTAGATCTCATAAAAAATTTCCTAATATTATACCAAATATTGAACTACGATTATGCTGAATTTACTTTGAAAGTTAAAAATCAACTTTGGAATCAAATTTTTGGGTGTCTTGTGATAATCGAAGAATATTCCAACTCTTTAAATGATTTAATCATTAATCTTGAAAAACCATATAAACATTTAGTTAATAATATGAGGAAAGAATTCAAGATAAAGTTTACTTTTAATAATCAGAATTTTTAAAAAAAATATGTCTTAAGTTGCGATAAGTCTCGTTATTTATCCAAAAATGTTCAGCAACACCTCAATTATGAAATTTTGAACCTATTTAACCAATCTATGTCAGAGTATGAAGGTGAATTTCAAAGGAATATTGGCTATTTATACGCTATTCAAGTTAAATATAATATTTTTCTTTTACTTCTTTATTTAAAATATTTATTTTATGATTTTTATGGACATTATCTAAAAATTATAAATCAATTGCATTATATAGATAATTTATTATCAATAATTTAGAATGGCGCTAAATACATTATTGACTCATATGGATTTAGTGATATCTTTCAAAAAGTGCTGGAAAAAGAAGTTGATTCAACATTTAAATACTCAGGATTTTATGATGGCTTATTAATTCAAGAAAATAGATCTTGTAATATTTATAGAAATCATCATATCTTACAGATAATACCTATTATATTTATATTTTATTACACTCTTTTTAAAATTTTCTATTTATCCATAAAACTTTTATATAAAATTATAATTTCAATGTCTTTATTGATAATTTACTTCATCGATAAGTAATCATTTTAGCCATTGCAAATTCAGATTTTATAAAATGTAAGTAAATAAAGAAATACTAAAAAATTTTTTTATCAAAAACGATTTATAATGAATTTAAAATTAAACTAGCGCCATCATAACCAATTTACAAGACTAATTATGTTTTTTTAAGGAACGGTTCTATCTTTTTCCTAAATTTAAGAAATTTTGTAAAACTTTCTTTTATAAGTATGTGGTGGGAGAGCCATTTGAACTAAACCTTTTTTTTAAATAACATAATTATTTTTTAAATGATATTTTAAGCTACCCATTATAACTACGTGTGTTTGGAAAATCCTCCTTTTGTGCAAATTATAAATACTTATTACCCTACTCCTCCAATATCCAATTTGTTTTTTAACGATTGGCGTCTAGCCTCATTTTCGAGTTACAAAGATATTTTCAATGTTCATCACCAAATTGTTATATATAGACACGATAGTTTTTGGATGCTATTAAAATTTCCTCGTGATTATAAAATAGTCAATCCATTAATAACAATTTATTCCCATCTAGAGGATCCAAAAAATATAGTTGAAGATTCTTATTATTCATTTATCCTTTTGTACGATAAAACTCGAAGAAAGAATAGTGAAATTAATACGGATATTATTTCAAAATATTATGATGATGATATCAATGAAACAAATCCGAGGTATATAAACCTCGGGTATTTTGTATCTTTACATTGGACCTCTATAATACGTAGCTGCCCAGGTTTATTCAATATGAAATGTTTAATTGTGTTGCTGCCGTCATTAGAGAAACGTTTAGCCAACTATTCATATTTGTATAATTCCTGGTTTAAAGATCTTACTATAGTATCAACCGATAAAAATTTTGATAAAATTATAACCACGCATAATAATGTGATGAGGAATCAATTTATTGATGAATATGATTACAAATTTAAATATTATTTGAGCGGAACCTTATGTAAAGGGTTAGAGATTTCAAATATAAAAATACAAAATTATAATTTTTCTAAAAACGAAATACGGGAATCTTACAATAACACAAAATGTAAATTAAGGCACCTTTTAAATCGACAAAAAGTGGAAGAATTCTCCCGCGTAATTTTATTAGTCACATTTAATTATCCTTATTATGATTTAATACCAACTATCCATTATTTATATAGTGATATATTTAGAAGTATATATTTTTGCGGTGAGGAAGCCAGTCAATATTCATTTAATAATTCCAATTCCATCTTGAATGAGGAATACGTTAATTTTATAACTGTGGAGGATACAAATAGAGGTTTTTATAGTTATGAGTGTATGATCAAAGTCATGACAATCTTCAAGAATATAAATGAAAA